GAAACGGGATGATTGGGATAAAGGAAGGTTGGATAAGGGAGCAGGGAAGCACATATCTTAATTAAGGGAGCCATCTTAGGTTGGCAAGAGGCTTGGACCTAGAGGGGCTTCCAGGTGCCCAAGGCGAGGTCCCCAGTTAGTTCCTTGGGCAGCTGAGGATAGGGAACTTGAAATCACCCTATCCTATAGCCATACTGATGAATATCTTGCATATCACCATAGAACCTTCATCTGGCTATGGAAGGAGATAGAGACAGAGACCCACACTGGAGCACCGGACTGAGCTCCCAATGTCCCAATGAGGAGCAGAAGGAGGGAGAACATGAGCAAAGAAGTCAGGACCACAAGGGGTGCACCCACCCACGGAGACAGTGGGGCTGATCTATTGGGAGCTCACCAAGGCCAGCTGGACTGTGACTGAAAAAGCATGGGATAAAACCGGACTCTCTGAACATGGCAGACAATGAGGGCTGATGAGACACCAAGGACAATGGCACGGGGTTTTGATCCTACTTCATGTTCTGGCTTTGTGGGAGACTAGCCAGTTTGGATGTTCACCTTCCTAGACCAGGATGGAGGAGGGAGGACTTTGGACTTTCCACAGGGCAGGGAACCCTGACTGCTCTTCAGACTGGAGAGGGAGGGGGAGAGGAGTGGGGGGGAGGGGGAGAGGAGTGGGAAGAGGGGGAGAGGAATGGGAGGCTGGGAGGAGGCAGAAATTTTTTTTAAATTAAATAAAAGTAAAAAAAAAAGAGTTGGTTCTTCGAGAAAAATAAACAAAACAGACAAACCTTTATTGAAACTAACCACAAGCCAGAGAGAAAATATCCAAATTATCAAAATCAGAAATGAAAGGAGGGACATAACAACAGACATGGAGGAAATTCAGAGAATCATTAGGTCATATTTCAAAAACCTGTACTCCACAAAATTAGAAAACTTAAAGGAAATGGACAACTTACTGGATAAATAATCACTTACCAAAATTAAACCAAGACCAGATAAGCAAATTAAACAGACCTATAACTGCTAAAGAAATTTAAAAACAGTCATCAAAAGTCTCCCAACCAAAAAAGGCCCAGGACCAGATGGTTTCAGCTCAGAATTCTACAAGATTTTCAAAGAAATAATACCAATATGCCACAAATGACTCCACACCATAGAAACAGAAGGAACATTGCAAAGTTCTTTTTATGAGGCTACAATTACCCTGATACGCAAACCACAGAAAGACAATACTAAGAAAGAGAATTACAGACCAAACTCACTCACGAACATTGATGCAAAAATACTCAATAAAATACCGGCAAATCGAATCCAAGAACACATCAGAACCATCATACACCATATTCAAATCAGCTTCATCCCAGATATGCAGGGATGTTTCAACATACAAAAATCTGTCAACGGAATCCACTACATAAACAAACTGAAAAAAAAAACACATGGTCATCTCATTTGATGCTGAAATAGCTTTCAAAAAAAAATACAAAGGACATACCTAAACATAATAAAGGCAATATACAGCAAGCAAACAGCCATCATCAAACTAAATGGAGAGAAACTCCCAACAATCCCACTGAAATCAGGGAAAAGACAAGGTTTTCCAGTCTCTTCATATCTATCCACTATAGTTCTTGAGGTTCTAGCTAGAGTAATAAGACCAAAAAAAGGAGATCAAGGGGATACAAACTGGAAAAGAAGTCAAACGCTCACTATTTGCTGATAATACGATAGCTTCCATAAGTGACCCCAAAAATTCTACCAATGAACTTCTACAACTCATAAACATTTTCAGTAATGTAGCAGGATACAAGATTAACTCAAAAAAATCAATAGCCCTCCTTTATACAGATAAATGAGTCGAGAAAGAAATCAGAGAATCAAACATCACCATTCACAATAGCCACATATAGCATAAAATATCTCAGGATAACTCTAAGGAAGACTTGTTAGATAAAAACTTTAAATTTTTGAATAAAGAACTTGAAGAAGACACCATAAAGTGGAAAGATCTTCCCTGTTCTTGGGTAGGTAGAATTAACATACTAAAAATAGTAATCTTACCAAAAGCAATCTACAGATTCAATACAATGCCCATCAAAATCCCAGCAAAATTGTTCACAGACCTCGAAAGAACAGTACTCAACTTCATATGGCAAAGCAAAAAAAACCCAGGAGACCCAAAACAATCCTGTACAATAAAAGAACTGCTGGAGGCATCACAATCCCTGACTTCAAACTCTACTACGAAGCTACAGTACTAAAAACAGCCTGGTGTTGGCAGAAAAATAGACAGGCAGACCAATAAACCCGAATCGAAGACATGGATATTAATTCACACACCTACAAACACCTGATTTCTGACTAAGAAGCAAAAAATATCAAATGGAAAAAGGAAAGCATACTTAACAAATGGTGCTGGCATAACTGGATATCAACTTATATAAGAATGAAAATAGACCCATATCTATCACCACAAAACCTGCACAAAACTCAAGTCCAAATGTATCAAAGACCTCAACATAAAGCCAGCCACACTGAACCTCATAGGAGAGAAAATGGGTAGTACACTCGAATGCATTGGCACAGGAGACCACTTCTTAAATATAACCCCAGGAGCACAAACACTGAGAGAAACAATTAATGAAATGGGACCTCCTAAAACTGAAAGGTTTCTGTAAAGCAAAGCACATGGTCAACAAGACAAAACGACAGCCTACAGAATGGGAAAAGATCTTCACTAACCCCACATCAGATAGAGATCTAAGCTCCAAAATAAACAAAAAGCGCAAGAAACGGGTCATCAAAAGAACAAATAATCTAATAAAAAAAAATGGAGTATAGACCTAAACTGAGAACTCTCAACAGAAGAATCAAAAATGGCTGAAGGATAATTAAGAAAATGGTCGACATCCTTAGTCATCAGAGAAATGCAAATCAAAACAACTCTGAGATTCCATCTTATACCTGTAAGAACGGCCAAGATCAAAAACACTGATGAAAACTTATGCTGGAGAGGTTGTGGGGAAAAGGGAACACTCCTGCATTGCTGGTGGGAATGCAAGCTGGTACAGCCCCTTTGGATGTCAGTGTGGCGATTTCTCAGAAAATTAGGAAACAACCTTTCTCAAGACCCAGTAATACCACTTTTGGGTATATATCCAAAGAATGCTCAATCATGCCACAAGGACATATGCTCAACTATGTTCATAGCAGCTTTGTTTGTCATAGCCAGAACCTGGGAATAACCTAAATGCCCCTTGACTGAAGAATGGATAAGGAAAATGTGGTACATTGACACAATGGAGTACTACCAGCAGAAAAACATAATGAATCTTGAAATTTGCAGGCAAATGGATCGATCTAGAAAATATCATATTGATTGAGGTAACCCTGGCCCAGAAAGACAAATATATGTACTCACTCATAAATGACTTTTAGATATACAGCAAGGAAACCCAGACTACAATTCACAATCCTAGAGAATCTAGACAACAATGTGGACCCTAAGAGAGACACAGATGGATCTAATCTACATGGGAAGTAGAAAAAGACAAGATCTCCTGAATAAATTGGAAGCATGGGGACCATAGGAGAGGGTTGAAGGGGAAGGAAGAAGCTTGGAGAGGAGCAGAGAAAACTGTACAGCTCGATAAAATACAAAAGTATTTAAAAAAAGAAAAGAAAATCCTTGCCAGAAACATCTGCCGAGCCCTGACAAGAATGCTTACTGTGATAGGTTGAGCTCAAATCTCAATTTTTTCAACACGACACCATAAAGTTCTTGTAGGAAACACATAATTCTTGTATTTTTTCCAGCACCCGATGGCCCATATACTAGGAGGTGAGGAAAGTCACCAAACTGCACCTAGTGAAGAAAGAACAAGGCATTTTACTTCGTCGAACCCAGGTGCTCCAGGTTAAACTACTTATAAAGCACTAAGGTATTTTGTTTACTATCCGACTCCAATAAAAAATTTATCAAACTCTCATGTTTGCTTTCTCTAGGCACTAATTTAATCTAACTTGCACGAGCAACACAGGACATGCAAGGCACAACACTAAATGCTTAAAGGCAGGAACTCACTCAGCAAGCTCTCTGAAGGGCACTTTCAAAAATGAGGGCTGATGGGAATGTGGAACTGATCTCTGTAACTGAGACAGATGCTTGTCTTGCCTGGGTTCCCAAAATGATTTTCTTGCTAAGAAGGGGGTACACTGATTCCCTTGCAAGTTCATTTGGGGGGTACAGGAAGACTGCACATAAGGGATGCTATGGGAAAGAGTGTGTTATCAAACAGCAATAAGACAATGACATCAAACTAAAGGGCACTATGGGCATGGGGGCTTGATCCGATGAGAAGATGTAGACTTTAAAAGTAAATTCATTAAGGCGTAGGAATAGTATACTAACCCCTGTCCTAAGAATATAAACAAGTAGCCACGGGAATCAATAAAATGTGTCCATCCTATGGCTAGGAAACTTAACATTGAAGCTACTGTAAAAACCGCTGTGCATACACATGAAGTATAATGCTCGATTTTTATATTATTGCACGCATTACAAGAACAACAACAAAAAAGACAACTAAAACATATCTTTCACTTCCCTCCCGATTCTTCCAAAAACTCTCATATGGAGGATAGAGGCACTAGGTAAAATAAGTCCTCGTTTTCAGAAAGGACTTAGCTGTGATTCCGAAGAGGCTAGTAACTACGAACAGGGTGCAGGGCACTGTCCCCTCCATCAGCCCGCCATCTAGCTACCTGCAGCAGGAGAGCCTATGGGCCCCAGCCCTTCCTACACACGGGGTTTGCAGCCTCCGCCAGGTCCGCACTCCAAGCTCACGGGACCCCGGGCAGCAGAAGCAGCATTCCGGGGAACTTGTCACTTTGGGTCCCCCTAACCCTGCAGCGCCCGCCTTCCTACTCCCTTATCCTCGGGCTTTTCAGGAAGCGGCAGAACGTGCCGGCCTCCGCCGTCCCGGACTGCTCACCAGGTTGCTCAGCTGCACCGCCTGTTCCTTGTGATAGTCCAGTCGGGCGAGGGAGCACGGCCGGTATTTGTCCACCCAGAGGCTCATGGCAGCTGGAGTCCCACCGGTGCGCCAGCCAGCTAGACGAGTTTCCCGCGAGCTCCAAACCGCGCGTCACTTTCGGCAGCGGACGACTTCCGGATTAGAGACTATGGTACCCGAATGGAGCCTGAAATAGTCACCGGCAAAGCGCGCAGCAGCCTCTCCACCCAGTTCCCACGCTCCGGTCCAGCATGGGTAATTCATGGTGCAATTCTTGTCCCTTTATTCTCACCCTCTGTTACATTTTAGAAAACATTCGATGGAATTGAAGACACATCAATGACAGTCTAAGCATCCAATCTGAGTGCTTAGGAAGTTTCCTCCATTTCATTCATCCATTCATTTATAAATTCATTGAAATTTATGCCACAGAAATTTATCTTTATTTGTAGAGTTGGTTTTCTCTTCATTTTTTTTATACCAAAGAGCTTTTGCCTACATGCATCTGTGAACTGTGTTCTTGGTGCACAGAGGTCAGAAGAGGATCTCAGATTCCCTGCCACTAGCGTTACAGATGGGTGTGAACTGCCATGGCAGTGCTGGGAACTGAACCCAGGTCCTCTACAAGAGCAGCCAGTGCTCTTAAACACTGAGCCATCTCTGCCGCTATAGAATAATGTTCTTGTCAACTGCAGTTAATCCATCTCTAGGTTCTCTCACAGGCAGGTACCCAGTAGAGATTATTGAATAAATATTGGAAAGAAGAAAGATGTTAACTTTATTTTACTTTATTTTTTATTTCCATTACACAAAATTCTTAATGGATTAGAATAAAAATAAAATTAAAGTACCATGAAAGACAACAGAAAGCCTGTAGGGAAGAACACATGGGGTTAACATGCTATTTTGCACAGAGCACATTTGAAAATCTTCTAGGTAAAAGACAAAGTGTGAAACACTTGTGAAAATATTCTGTATATCATGGCCACACAATCATGGTGCCACTTAGATGCACATCTTAAAATGTGTTTTCTAGTGTCAGTGAGTTCTTTCCAACTCTTCCACACCTCTGAAACCCTGTGCCATTTTTCTCGGTGATTTCATCAGGAATTTTAATTATTATCATTCTCTCATACAGGACATTTTGACCACAATTTCCCCTCCCTCCACTCTGCCCAGTCCTCACCTCCTCTCCCCCAGATCCACTCTTCCTCCATTTCCCTTCAGAAAAGAGCTAGTTTGCCATGGATATTAACCTAACATGTAAGACTTGGTACAAAGGGCCTCAGGAGCCAGGAGAGGCTCCACTTTGACCAGGTTTTGTTTGGGGATAGATCACCTTCTCTAGGACTGAAAGGACTAATTCACAAATTGAAAGCTAGCCCAGGGAAGCTGCAAGTGCCCTCCAGCCCACTACTCTTACCTTTACCACTAGTACAAAGGATGTCACTTTTCTTCTTCCTTTACGATCGCCATATATTTGGTTTAAAAGTATTCATGAGTTAATTACACAGATTGAGTTCTGACCCTTGCAGGCACTTGGCTTGGCACCAGAGTCTCAAAGGCAAAGAACAAATAAACACAAATATTTGGATTTGGGGTTTGGAGGCCCCATTCAAGAACCTGGTATTGAGTAGACCATCAAGTGACTTTCTGGGCATGTAGCTTCTGACAGGTTGACTGACTGTAAACTGAGGCTGAAGGATAAGAGAAACCATCAGAACTGAAAGAAAAGTTCAGCACACACTGTCCCAAACCTTAGCATTCATGTTTCCACCTCCAGATTCATTCCTGTAAGATCACGTGTTCTAGGAGGCTAAACCTACCGGATTTCTTTGTTTCCCAACTTATGTCTCTCAGTGCTTCCCAGAGCAAAATCTGATGCCTGGGCAGGAGGGAGATAGGTACTCATACAATTGTACTATCTCCAGTTGAAATCCTGAGCCTGTGGCCAGAGTCACAAAACTCAGGGATTGAGGCATTCATATGTGAGCTCCCAGGATGTATTTGAACAGCCCCTGAGACGTGTTTGTTTATGTGAGATGCTGGCTACTGTGAGTTGGTGGTAATTCTTTGCACTTGCCTGGCAAATGATTGCATGTTAAAATCTCAAGGTAGCACATGCTTTTCCCTGGGCCAAATGGAACATCATAGTTTCTGATGCAACACCAGGGACTCCCCATGGCTCTTCTTGGTTCTGTCTGAGATACTAACACTTTTTGCATTTCTTCAGGATCCCTTTGATCTCTCTGTCCCTGCCTCTCTGTTCCCAGTGAATCTTTTTGCCACATTTTAAGCAGCCTGAAGTAAATTACTATCAACTAAATATAAAGAAATAATAGGAACAAACATCTCTGACTAAAGTGAGGAATGAGCATATTCAAGGGACTATAGAGAGGAAACAAAGCTGTGCTTACGCATTTAAACATGACATTGAAAATAAAAACACAAAAATCAACAAGATGACCAATATAACATAATTATTTATTATTTTCTGTTTTCTTTTTATTTACTTTTCTATCACGCAAGACATTTTGACTACAGCCTCCCATCCCACCATTCTTAGTCTTTCCCCATCTCCCCTCACCCAGATATACTGGTTCTCCATTTCTGTTTACATAGGAACAGGCTTCCCAAGGATAGGACGAAACACAGCATATCAAGATGCAACAAGATAAGGCGCAAACTTTCATGTTAAGCATGGAAGAGACAAGTTGGAGCAAGAGAGTCCCAAGAGCAGGCAAAAAAGTCAACAATACAGCTACTGCCACTTCTAGGAGTTCTACAAATACCCAATCTAAACAACCATGACATATACGCATGCCGAAAACTTAGTGCCAATCCACGGCAGGATCAATGATTGCCACTTTATTCTCTGTGATCCTGATGGACCCTGCTCATTTGGTTCTATGTGTAATGTTCTTCTGGTGCCATTGACCCATCCAGATCCTACAACATGACAATAATGCCTTTAAATATCAACAAGCTCAATTCTCTGATCAAAAGAATCTTCCTGAGTGAATCAAGTAATATCAGTCACTTTTCTAAAAGTAACATGTGTTGACTTTAATGGTAGCGATTATCTTTGAGCAAAATGATGGATAAAATAATCCAACAAAAACAATAAGAAAACAGAAGTTCCTATGTGCTAACTCCAAAGCTAGGCCTGGTTCAGCCTAGCGGGGATAGGTGCCAAGCTGTTGGGAATTGTTCCACATTTGTTAATATCTGACTTGTTACATTCACAGTCTATATTATTTTCACTTAAACCTTTAAGGATCAGTGAAAAAGATACAGCTAGTACTGAGGATGTGAAGGAGGAGAGGGACCTGTACAAAGCAAGGGTTGTGTTGTCTTCACACTCTAGTACTGCAGACATGGGGTCACAGATGCGCCTTTATACACAAATGAAATATACTACTTTTTTAATACACTTTAGTCTAGAGCAGGAGAAAAACATCAACCAGCACACTTAACTTAGTGTTGATTACAATAAACATAATTTAGTTGTCATATCCTCCAGCAAATTATTACATGACTTTTAACATCACAAAAAGTGCCATGTGTAAAAGGTATTACTTTTCCTTACCTAAAAGTGGTGCATTCCCTACAGTATATTTGAAACCTTTCTCTGTTTATCAGTAAATAGCTAGTAGGCAAGTCTAAGTTATTGAGAATCCAAATCACGAAGCATCATCAAAAAACAAAACTAAATTCTCAATTTTACTTTATATTATATTCTGCTTAGTTTATAGCTAAATTGTATAATGTATGGTGCACATTAACAAATAATTAATTATAAAAATTAAAAATGAATCTGCTTCCTCTAAGAGGAAAAACAAACAATAGTAAATGTTTGGGGAAATGATTGTGACAAAAGGTTATAGAGAGCTACTACACAGAAAGCTGTGAGACAATTAGATAACCATCGTGACAGAAATGAAAAGAAAAAAACCTATGGTAAAGTTAAGTGTAGGAGCAAATCACTCATAAAATGTTAAAGACGGAAGAGAAACAAATAAGACCAGCCTGCTTAGTTAGGGACACCAGCTGGCAAGAAAAACAAAGTCCAAACTGTACTTCAGATTATACAGTATGAGAGGGTGCTGCATACAAGGGGACTGACTACCTGCATTAAGGACCTCTCTAACATGGTCTAACGTCCACATGAGATAATGAACAACGTATCTGATTACCTTTACCAGATTCCCCCCATACAATAAAATAAGTAAAACGCTACTGTGAGAATACAAACATTATTAAATGAGCCTGTTTTCTACAGAAGGAGACACGTGGTAAAAACAGAATTTGGTGACTGGTGGGGCTTTGTAAGTGTATTGGATTCCACCTCTCCCCTATGTCATTATTTCAGTACATTTTACCAGCTCCTATTTACTAGAATAGAGGAAACAGCAGACAGAGCAACGGTACGTCAAGATCCAGGGAATGCTGAAATATATTTTCAGATTATAATATGAAATTTAGACACAAAGAGACGAGACTTCAGAAGAAACAGAAACATGGAGAACTATAGACGAAGTAGCCTGAGAAACAAGCATATAGATAGAAGAAGATAAATATCAGAACATAATGAAGCCCAGCCTGCTGCTACAGAGAGAAGACCAAGAAGTGAGTGACCAGCCAGCTGGCAGGACATCCTCTCTGCAGGTCATCCAGACTGGGGCAAAACCCTGTGCCCCTCCCACACCTGCCTCTGCTTCATTAGCCAGTAGACAGGAGAGGTTCCTGCAAGTAGGCTTCTCCATTATCCCCACCCCGATCATCAGACCCTGTAAGCTACAAATCCCACCCTGCCCCCAAACTGCCATATCCCCCATGCAACCTCAGTGGAAAGGTGAAACACAGCCTGCTACTATAGAGAAGCAATCAGGTGAGTGACAGCCACCCAGAAGGACACCAAACTATTTAGGCTCTCCAAACCAGGGCAAATCCCTGGAAGCCTCTGCCACCTACCTCCGTTTTTCTTGCCAGCCAGCAGGACAGTTTTCTACAGGTAGGCTGCACAAATACACCTGCAACACAGACAGTGACAGTACAGAACAGACAAAGAACAGTTTCCAAGACACAAACAGCCACTGTAAGAATTAGACCAATATGTAAAGTCAATAACGGCATCAATTGAAGGAAGAGATGGGTAGGTGCCAATGCAAGAATTCATCCAACAGCCTAGAAATCAACATGGTAACACCAGAACCCAGTAGCCATACATCAGGAAGACTAAGATCAACCTACCCCAGAAGAAGCAAAATAAAATGATTTTAAACATATCTAAACACAATAAAAGCAATAGACAACAAGCAGATAGTCAACATCAAATTAATGGAAAGAAACTCAAAGCGATTCCACTAAAATCAGAAACAAGACAAGGCTGTCCACTCTCTTCATAACTATTCAACATAGTTCTTGAAGTTCTGGCTAGAGCAATAATTCATCATCAACAACAACAAAAAGAACAAGGGGATTCAAATTGGAAAGAAAGAAGTCAAACTTTTGTTATTTGCAGATGATATGATAGTTTACATAAGTGACCCCAAAAACTTGACTAGGGGACTTCTACATGCTGATAAATACCTTCAGTAATGTGGGGGGGTCCAAGATCAACTCAGAAAAATCAGTGGCCCTCCTATATACAAATGATAAAGAAGCTGAGAAAGAAACCAGAGAAACATCACCCTTCATAATAGCCACAAATAACATAAAATATCTTGGGGGTATCCCTAAACAAAGAAGTGAAAGACCTATTTGAGAAAGTCTTTGAAGAAATTGAAGAAGATACCAGAAAATGAGAAGAATTACCATGCTCTTGGATAGTTACGATCAGCATAATAAAAATGGCAATCCTACCAAACGCCATCTAGAGATTCAATGCAATCCCCATCAAAATCCCAACACAGTTCAAGTGTTCTGCAATTCAGTTTCCTGCTACAATAACCAGTGAGATGACATTTCAGATACAGAGATGACTTCTAGCTCTAATAATATTCAAGGTTTTACATTTTGTATATTACCTACTGGAAAAGACAGAAAATGTGTTGTGGGATTCTGTGTAAGGGCCAAATTGGGGAAGTCCGCAATGTTACATATGTCTTCAAGTCTTGCTGCTGCAGTAGAAAGCAGCTCATGAGAAGCCTCTCCCATCTCCACTCAGGAGTGGTGACTGAGCATCATGTAGAAGGGGACAAAGAACAATTTAAACTTTGAAAAGACTACAAAATAACACACTGACCTTTCTATTTTTAACTTGGATACCTACCATCCTGCCAAAAGACAGTTTCTAATGCAGTTTTAAATTGGATACCCATCCGCCCACCCACCAAACTCTAAGCCAGTGCTTAGTTTACTGCAAGAAAAAAGTGTACAGAATATTTAGGATGCTGAGTATTTCATAGGAGAGCTGGACAGTGCTGTAAAGAGTCTTTTTAATTGTTTAACACCACCAAATAAATGAAATTAGGAGGATTTCCGAGAACAGAGTTGGAACTGTTGTATGATAAAGCACATGTCTAGTCTTTCTGTGGAAAGGCAGTGGTTACGCATTTTAAAATGTCTGGGTACACTATTACTTCTCATGACAATTTGTCATAATTCAGTAGCATGACCTTCCCCTAGAAATAGCGAAATATTTTGAAATGCTACAGCACTACCGAAGTTCTGATGACTCAGATCTGTCCTACTCTTTATTGTAATTCACATTGAAAATTAGCATTGAAACTACTCTACAAATTAACGTTAAATAAAAAGAGGAAGCATTTACGATAACTGTACCTTTTTTCTTTTTTATTGTATTTTTTGAGCTATACATTTTTCCCCATTCCCCTCCCTTTTCTTGTACGTTTTTTATACTTTTTATACTGTTGTATATTTATAATCAAGCTTTTACTCTAGGGTCTTATTAGAAAAAATAAAATCAGCAACCTTGGTATTTGATGCAAATGTAGTATGCTAAATTCTGAGATAGCCTGGGCAAAAGCTGGAGATATAATTTAATAGTAAAAGTAGATGAGGTTTCTCATCTGCATTGTAGCATTAAGTTAGTTTGTACCACTCACATTTATTTTTACATGTATGCCTGTGTGTGAATGTTTTCGTTGCATGTATATGCTCTACATGCATGCTTGGTGCTGAGGTCAGAAGGTATTGGGTCCCCTGGAATTTTAGATTCAAAAGGATGTGAGCCCCCTTATGAAGCTGGGAACCAAACCCAAGTGCCCTTAACTACCGAACAATCTCTCTAAACCCTAAACTCACACTTCTTAAATTTAGCAGATGAAATGATGTTTTGAGTAACCTATATGAAACAGCCTTATGGAATTTTATCCACTGTTTTGTGACATAAACCAATGGGTGGGACCATTTCAGAGCTTTGAATGAATCCTTCTGACTCTGTTCCCAATATTCCTACTGTAAGTAGATGACAGTGTTGGAGCAGGCCCTTACTCTACAGCTTCCCCATGTGACATACATGGTTGAGGAGTGAGAGGTTGGAAGGCATCTCCAGAATACAAACTTGCAGCTCAGCAGTTCCCCTCTGCTGTGAGCACCCTTTGCTCATGCATTTCAAAGGCAACTTTCAGTGGTTTGCTATCCCAGGATCACAATGTGCAATTGTGATTGGATACTAGGATAGAACTAATGTAGGGCAGAATGAGGAGTTCCTTTCTTTCCAGATCCCTTCTTCATGACATTCTCTTAACAGAAAGTCTTGGTAGTAAAGACAGGAATAGGTCAGGCCATCCACATCCAAGGTACTACCCTCCTGTGTAGACCTGCCTGGATGCGAAACGGCTGTGTAACCAAGGCTCCTGGAATGCAGAAATCCATCTCTGCCCATGAGTTCTGTAGTCACAGGAGAGCAACCCCACATCTGACTCAAGAAACACTGTAAAACTGAGGAGTCGAAAATTGATTTTATTCATAAAAATACTCATTATACTCAATAGGAACTTTAGAAAGGGTAGTCAGTATATACAGGGTAGAGCCTTAGCCAACTATTAAAACAACAAGAACAAATTATTTAAAAACCAACAACAAAATTTAAACCAAAGCAAAGAAAAAATATCCAAACAAATGAAAACCAAACCCAAACCAGAACCCTTGCTCCAATTAAGCTAAAAATAGTCTCTAGCTCTAGATCCAAAAAATCAATCGAGAGCATCTGGCTCCCTAAAGACACGAAAAGTGACCAAACCTCCTCTATAGACCCTTTCTCAGGACTGACATGCCAGTCCAGGATGTGAAACTGGAGAATCCCCTGACATTTTCTTTATGGATGATCAATGACTAACACAGGTGAGGGATGCTGTAGTCTCTGTACTGTGTTATCTTCACCAACACTTTCCTGTGACATGGAGTCGACCTCAGCACTCACGGGAGAGGGAATTCTGTTCTTTTCCCTGTGGTGTGTATAGACTACAGCATGGCATCAGTACAGTCTTTCTCGTGAGAGTCCGCACCACATATGGAGGGCTCAGCCGGCTTACTAAAGACATGGAGAGTACAGAGGAAGCCTTGCTCAGCAGCATATCCTCCCCATGCTGCTGTTTGCCACTCAGGGTCCACCTGCTGACCAATGTCGGGATTTGGAGTCATTCTTGGTGGGTCCTCTGAATGTCAGGCTTCTTTCTGATGATTTCCTTTCTCCAGGAATAGTGGGCCAACAGAACATGAATCAGATTGGCGATGGAACCGCTGCAGTAGGTGGAGATTTTTCTTACTCGTTTGTTCACAGCTACAAGGAGGGGTCTGCTTCTCAGTAGGTGTTGCTGCTCGAGGGGAGAATGTGTGAAGCTTCCTTCAGCCTCCTCAGTTCTCCAAAGCGGAGCTGTCAGAGAAGGAAAGGCAATCAGATGCACAGGAAGCCTCATTGGACCACAGCCTAGACAAAACCAGGGACTGTCTACACATGGGAAACAAACATCAAGGAAGAAAACCCACCCCATGAATGCCAAGGTTGCAGGGGACAGGAGTCAATGGTGGCTCATTGGCCTGGCACACACACGGCTCCAGCTGCAACAGGTCTGTGGGCAGGAGGCTCTCATCCTGGACTGTGGCCAGATCATGCTGGAGGTTTTCATATTAGGGGAGGAAAACAGCTGGGACACAGGTCTGTTAAGGACCTGCCCTGTCAGCTTTTGAGCTCTTACCAGCTCTACTCAACTGGGAAATCCAGCATTACATTTGAGCTGGGCTCATTCACTCCTTGCTTCTTCAAGTATAAGATAGCACCTGAGTTTCTTTTTTTTCTCCACCTTTAAAACTGCTACAAAGTGAGCTGAGAAATACACACTGTGGTGAACTAGAAAAACAGCCTGTTACTCCAATAGTTTAGATACATTCTTTTGAAAAAAACAGCAGTATAGCAATGGCTGGGTCAGGGGCCTTGAACAGATGCCAGGAAACTGTGAGCAACCTGGGAAATTAACTGTATGAGGCCCTGAAGAGGAGCAAACACAACACTGCAGTGAAGGCTGGGCTTATTCCTTCAGCACAGAAACTTCCTTGGATTCAACATGTCAAACTCTAAATGTGATTTTAATTCCAGAAACCTTCTTACAGGAAACAGATGCAAACTGCAGAGAACCCATAATCAATAAGAAGGTGCTGTATGCTAATCTGCCCAAGTGTAGGAGTTTATCTCTAAAGGTGATACTCCTGGAGGAAAATAAAGTGGCAGGAGGAGACACCGTCTTCCACAATTAACACTGCCTCTATTAGGTCTGGGACTACCATAGGAAGGATCAATGCACACACGAGACCACTCAGAATTGAAGAAGTGCACACAATTGAGAAAGATTAAGGATAACACATATTGCTTCCTGTGCAGACATTTCTGTTGACTGAGCCAGCCCAATACTCTCAGATGTTCTTTCCCTGGCTTTGACTAAAAAGTCATGCAAATGTCCAGGAATCCAAATAGGGCAGAGATTCAGGTACTGGGGAACTACTTGATATAACTCCCTCTTTGTGGCCTGGGATCCTACCTCATCTGGGAGACAGCGAAGGGATTCTGCAACTTTTCTGCCAATTCTATACGTTTGGTGACCAGATCCCTCAGCTTCAGCAGGAATTGTCGTCTTTCCACCAATATATCCTGTTTCTGTTCATTAGAAGATTATGTTCTTAGTGGAGGGTTGAACACTCAAATGAACACACACAAACACACACACACACACACACAAACACACTCCTCAACGCACACTTCTGGATATACATGTACAAGAACATACACATTCAGCAAAATAACAAGAATTAATCATTTGATATTTCTCTGTATCAATGGTTTCATTTCCTTAATAAAAATACACAGAATGACAGAATGGATGCAGAAACAGGATCCATTTTTCTTCTGCATACAATAAACAAACTTCAACATCAATTATAGACATTACCTCTGGGTAAAGAATTTGAAAAAAATCTTCCAAGCAAATGTACTTAAAAGACAAGCTGGTGTAGCTATTTTAATACCTAACAAAATCGACCTCAAACCAAAATTAATCAAAAGGCATGGGGAAGGACACACCGCAAAGATGATCTTTTAATTTTTTTTAAAATTTTTCGAGACAGGGTTTTTCCATAGCTTTGGAGCTTGTCTTGGAACTAGCTCTTGTAGACTAGGCTGGCCTTGAGCACAAGGAGATCTGCTTCCCTCTGTTTTCAAGAGCTGGGATTAAAAGTCTGCACCACCACCACCTGGCCATCATTTGAAGTCTTAACATCTATGCCCTAAGTAAATTTTTAAGATAAACATTACTATAGCTTAAAACACATATTGATTTCCACATACTAATATGGAAATTATTACCAATAATAATCTAAGTCTCACCAATGTCCATGTTATCAGTGTACAGGTCATACAGACAAAATTAATAAACTCTGGATTAACTGAAGTTTTAAACCAAATAAACTTAACAGATATTTATCAGACAATTAGAGAATACAACTGTATATCAACAACTAAAGAAAGGAAAGCATATATAAGTTCATGGAAATTGAAGATCTCTATATTGAATGAAAAGTGAACCAAAAAATAAAGAAATAAAGAAAGAAAGAAAGAAAGAAAGTCTTTCTAGAATTCAATGAAAATGAATACATAACCTACGCTAACTTATGGGACACAACGAAAGTAGTGCTAAGAGCAGTAAGTGCCTACATTAAAAAATGGGAAGATATCATACTTAATAGTAACACCTCAAAGCTATTGAACAAAAGGAAATATGTCCAAGAGGATTAGACCAGAAGAAATAATCAAACTGACAGCTAAACCAATAAAATAGAAATAAAGATAATTGTACAAAAATAAGTGAAAGAAAGAATTGGTTCTTTGAGAAAATCAACAAGATAGATAAACCCTCATCCAAGCTAAATAAAGACAGGCAAAGAATATCCCAATTAATAAAATCAGAAACCGTATGGGGATATAACAACAGATACCGAGGAAATCCAGAGAATCACAAGGACATACTTTAAATCATGTACTTCATCAAACTGGATTATCTATAAGAAATAAATAATTTTCTCAATAGGAATCATTTATCAAAGTTAAATTAAAATCAGATAAGTAAATATACCTACATTCCCCAGTGAAATAGAAGCCATTGTTAAAAGCCTCCCTCCACCCCACAAAAAAAACCCAGGGTCAAAAGGCTATCTCACAGAATTCTACCATACTTTAAAAGAATAGTTAATGGCAATACTCCTCAAATTAGTTTGCAAAATAAAAACAGAAGAAACAGTGCCCAAATCATTTTATGAGGTCACAGTGACCTTGATACCCAAACCACAGAAAGACTCAACAAAGATACTTACAGACCAATTTCCCTAATGGACATAGATGAAAAAGTACTCAATAAAATACTTGCAAATAAATCCAAGAATATTTCAAAAAGATCATCTATTATGATCAAGCAGTCTTTAACCTAGAGATATAGGGATAGATCAGCATATGAAAATTAGTCAATGTAATCTACCATATAAAATGAAGAAAAAACATATGGTGATCATTCTTACTAGATACCAAAAAATCTTTGACCCTTTCATGAAGAAAGACCTCAACACAAAAACAGACAGGAGAGAATATAAGGAATAGCTGGAACATGCCAGCAAAGGAGATGATTTCTGAAGAGAACACTGGCACTAAGATCAACAATTAATAAAGGACCTCAGGGAACTAAAAGGCAAGGAACACCATGAGTAGGAGAAAATAGAGGTTTAAAGAATGGGAAATGATTTTCATCAACTCGCCATCAGACAGAGGGCTAATATCCAAAATATACCAAGCATTCAATAGACTAGACATCAATTCTTAGTTAAGGGAGCCAGTTTAGGGTGGGCAAGAGACTTGACCCTAGAGGGGCTCCCTAGTGCCCAAGATGAGGTTCCCAGTTAGTTCCTTGGGCAGCTGAGGATTGGGAACCTGAAATGACCCTATCCTAGAGCAATACTGACGAATATCTTGCATATCATCATAGAACCTTCATCTGGTGATGGATAGAGATAGAGACAGAGACCCACACAGGAGCACTGGACTGAGCTCCCAAGGTCCCAAGGAGGAGCAGAAGGAGGGAGAACATGAGCAAAGAATTCGGGACCACGAGGCGTGCATCCACCCACTGAGACAGTGGAGCTGATCTACGGCGAGCTCACCAAGGCCAGCTGGACTGTGACCGAAAAAGCATGGGATAAAACCGGACTCTCTGAACATGGCGAACAATGAGGGCTGATGAGACACCAAGGACAATGGCAGGGGGTTTTGATCCTACTTAATGTGCTGGCTTTGTGGGAGCCTAGCCAGTTTGGATGTTCACCTTCCTAGATATGGACAGAGGGGGGAGGACCTAGGACTTACCACAGGGCAGGGAACCCGGACTGCTCTGTGGACTGGAGAGGGAGGGGGGGAGAGGAGTGGGGGGAGGGCGAGAAGGGTGGGAGGAGGGGGAGAAGGGTGGGAGGAGTGGGAGAAGGGTGGGAGGAGGGGAAGGGAAATGGGAGGCTGGGAGGAGGTGGAAACTTGTTTTTTGTTTATGTTTTTTTTCTTCTTTTCGCAATAAAAAAAAATTAAAAAAAAAAGAAACGTGGTACAGATAGAAAAGAAAAAAAAGAAGAATCAGAAATAGTTGAGAAACACTTAAAGAAAGGTTGAACATTCTTACCCTTCAGGGGAATTTGAACCAAAAACTCCTTTGAGATTCCACCTTACACCTGTCAGAATGGCTAAGATCAATGGCACGAATGACAGCTTATGGTGGTGTGGATTTGTAGCAAAGGAAACACTCCTCCATTTCTAGTGGGAGTCCAGAGTTGTCCAGCCTCTATGGCATCAACATGGCGATTCCTCAGAAAATTGGGAACTGATTTACCTCAAAATCTAGGTACACCCTTCTTGGACATATACCTAAAGGATGCTCTATCCTATCACAAGAACACTTGCTCAAATATCTCCACTCTGGCTTTATTCATAATAACCAGAAACTGGAAACAACCTTGCTGTCCCTCAATTAAGGAATGGATAAAGAACAGGCAGTACATTTACAGAAGAGAATATTACTTGGCTGTGTGAAAAGTGATATCCAATTGCTATTTTAAGCAAATGGGTGGAGCTAGAAAAAAATCATGCTGACAGAGATATCTGAGATCCTGAAAAACACATATTATATGTATTTACTTATAAGTGGGCATCAGTTGTTAAGTAATTGATAATAAAGCCACTTTCCACAACCCAGAAAAGTTAGGTAAAGAGAAGGTCACTAAAGGAAACAGAAGAATTTCCCTGGGAAAAGAAAATAGATTAGATTTTGCCAGTAAACTTTGGTTGGGTGGGGAGGGAATTGAAAGGGATGGAGGGAGAGAGTGTGGAGAGAGAGTGTTAGAGTTGGGGGGCTCCCAGAGGCTGCTATGGAAAGCTAGTACAGATAAAACTTCCTGTAATCTATATGGGGGATCCTAGTGAGGAATCCTAGTAGTGGAACATACAGAGTCTGAACTGACCATCTTCTGTAGACAAGAAAGGCTTCCAGTGCTGAGAGACTGGATTGCATTCAGTTGAATATTTGGCTGGAGGGGATTCCCGGCTCATGCTAGGACAGTGTGTTGCTCTCTGAAAACTAACAGTGGGGTCCCATTGTTGTGGACAACATCTACACATCATTGAACCTAGAGAGAGCAAGCTGTTGCCTGCATGGAGCCTTCACCCATATGCTCTAGTCTCTTTGGCATGGGATGATACTCTGCAGGTTACAGAAAGAGAAACATGACATCAACTCAGCCACAAAAACCTTGACTTACAGTCTGTCCTCCTGCAAGTTATGCTGGGGCACTGTTGGTGCAGAATTGAGAGAGTGGCCATACAATGTCTAGCTTAACTTGAGGCTCATGCAAGGTGAGGCAGTCCATGCCCTATAATCCCTGGATGGCTGAAATCTTCAGACCAAATAGCCCAGAGACATAGCACAGAAGCAAACATAACTAAAAAAAAAATCAATGAACTGATTACTAATATTCCTATCAATGTTCTGCTATACTCATAGATTGGTGCCTTGCTGGTCCTCATCAGAGAGCTTTTCTCTAGCAGTAGTTGTGTGGAAGTGAGTATCTAAATTCGAACTTTCTATCAGTCCTACCCATTGGAGCTCAGGAAAACTTTCAGAAGAAATTGGGGGGGGGTGCGGATTTTAGGAGTAAACGGGAATGATGGGCTGGAGGGCACTAGGAGAACATGGCCCACTGAATCAAGTAAACAGGGCTCACATAGGCTCACAGAGTTATGTATGGGGCCTGCATGGGTCTGCACCATGTTCTCTGCATATATGTTGGTGTTTTGGTGGGACTCTTAATAGTGGGAGTGGGTGTGGTGTGTCTCTGACTCTTTGTCTGCTCTTGGGATGCCTTTCCTCCTATTGGGAAGCTTTGTCCAGCCTCTGTATGAAGGCCTTTTTCTTGTTTTGTCATGCTTGCCTGTTCTTTTCTGGAAAGAAAACAAAGGGTAGCAGATCTGGAAAAAGAGAGGTTTATAGGAGCTGAGAGAAGTGGCAGTAGAGAAAACTATGGTATGTGAGAATAATTTATTGTCAATAAAAGGAAATGTTCACTCAATAAAAAAATGTGAATCGTTGAAGAGTTACAACACTTTAAACAGAGTTATTAACTGTGTAATCTCTACCCAAAAGGAGAGCTTAAAATTTTCTTCCTCTAAAATATTAACAAGGAGCAGGAATCCCTATGACTCGATGGCATATAATATTTTTCACTTATAGCTGGGATTCATAGGCCATGGCTAGTGGGAAGGAGGTAAAATTGCCTTTTCTGTGAACAGTAAAATTTTGGACAGATCCTTAGTAAGGGTTATATTCTGCCTCCTGCAGGAAAATCCTCTGCTCCTGGAGGTCTCAAAGCAATGAGAGCTGGAGGGTTGCACCGAGGAGACACCAGCTATAATGTAAGAGATGAATTAAAGGTAATAACTTCATCAGTTCCTTCAGGACATACATCTTATCTGTTTGCTGCAGGTATAGCTTACTTCCTGGCATTTATGGGACTCCCAACATAGACTTTTGAATGGTTAAATGAATGAAAGCTACCTTTATGTTATTCGTCTTAAAGCTACCTGTCTACTAATGATAAAGCATCTTAAATTATATTTTCACCGATGCTTTTGAGATGACTATAATTTAGCACCTATGTCTTAAAAACACAAATGTAAGCCAGGCGGTGGTGGCGGACGCCATTAATCCCAGCACTCAGGAGGCAGAGGCAGGCGGGTCTCTGTGAGTTCGAGACCAGCCTAATCTACAAGAGCTAGTTCCAGGACAGGCTCCAAAACCACAGAGAAACCCTGTCTCGAAAAAAACCAAAAAAAAAAAAAAAAAAAAAAAAGCACAAACGTATAATCTACTGACCTTCGACATTTGGTTTAAGCATCAATTTTAATTTAAGTATTTAGACTAAGTTTGAGCTTGTGATGCAAACCCTTAATCCTAGGTACTCAGAAACTGAGACAGAAGGACTGAAAATTAAAGTCTGGACTGAACTCCACTGTGAGTTCAAAGCTAATCTTTGTGGGTGGGTGCACGCCTCGTGGTCCCGACTTCTTTGCTCATGTTCTCCCTCCTTCTGCTCCTAATTGGGACCTTGGGAGTTCAGTCCAGTGCTCATGTGTGGGTCTCTGTCTCTATCTCTATCCATCACCAGATGAAGGTTCTATGATGATATGCAAGATATTCGTCAGTATTGCTCTAGGATAGGGTCATTTCAGGTTCCCAATCCTCAGCTGCCCAAGGAACTAACTGGGAACCTCATCTTGGGCACTTGGGAGCCCCTCTAGGGTCAAATCTCTTGCCCACCCTAAAGTGGCTCCCTTAACTAAGAATTGTGGTTCCGTGCTCCCCTATCCACCTTTCCTTTATCCCAATTCTCCTGATTCGCCAAGTCCCCCCTCCTTCCCTTCTACCTTTTCTCTCCCCATCTCACCTTACCCCCATCCCACCCCACCCCCAAGATCCTAATTTTCTCCCCGGCAATTTGGTCTACTTCCCTTAGCCAAGAGGATAACTATATACAGTGGAACTGATCTACTGGGAGCTCACCAAGGCCAGCTGGACTGTGACCGAAAAAGCATGGGATAAAACCGGACTCTCTGAACATGGCGAACAATGAGGGCTGATGAGACGCCAAGGACAATGGCATGGGGTTTTGATCCTACTTAATGTGCTGGCTTTGTGGAAGCCTAGCCAGTTTGGATGTTCACCTTCCTAGATATGGACGGAGGGGGGAGGACCTAGGACTTACCACAGGGCAGGGAACCCGGACTGCTCTGTGGACTGGAGAGGGAGGGGGAGAGGAGTGGGGGGAGGAGGAGAAGGGTGGGAGGAGGGGGAGAAGGGTGGGAGGAGGGGGAGGTAAATGGGAGGCTGGGAGGAGGTGGAAACTTGTTTTTTATGTTTTTTTTTCTTCTTTTCTTAATAAAAAAAAAGCTAATCTTTGGAATGTAGTGTGATCATATCTCAAGACTTTAAAAGGATTTGGTGATATATCTCATTGTTAGAATGTGTAACAAACATGAGCAAAGCCCAGGTTTAATGATATTTTAATAATTAGATCAAATAACCATGGGAGAACTGCTATTTTCTGAAGGAAATTAAGGAGGAGTGGACCCGGGGTCCGGGGAGCAGGGGGTGAATGACTGGGAGGAGGGAAGGAGGTTGAACTGATGAAACATGAGAGAAGATAAAAAATGTAGACAAGAACCACCCCTTTGACATTTACACGGGGATTTCCTCCTTCAAAGCTGTTTCCAGCCATTGATCTCACAAGATGCTAAATCCTTAGAAAGTCTTGGAAAATCACAGAAATCAACAATTGGACAAGATGTTAGTGAGCTACTGGAAAAGTGGGTGGATGATCACGTGTGTGTGTTTGTGTGTGTGTGTGTATTACTACTGATGGTGGGCAGCCTGCCCACATTGCTGCAGCCTACCTTATCCCCCTCGTCACATAGCTCACAGAACTTCTCATCGGTCTTTTCATAGAGATTCTTCACCTTCTCACAGGCCACTTGCAGTGAAATCTGCTCCCTCCGTAGCTTTTGGTTCTCCTCTCTCAACATGCTCACTTTTTTCTTCAACTGAGTTCGCTCACTCAGGAGCTGGTTGTGGAGGATGCTGAACCATCACAAAAACACCATGAGACCTACCTAGCCTCCATCTCCCACATCACCCATGCAAACTCCCATGTCCCCAGACAGCCCTAGACCAGAGCCCACAGTCACCATGCCAGGATACCCTAGTGGCTGTCAAATGTCAGAGAATGGCCAAATTACAGAAAGACTCAGACTGCTTTTGAAAACTGTTACAATAAAAGAAATGCATGTACTTCTGAGAGCAGGGTTTGCCTCCTACCACATGTACTTAACTGTCCATGGTATTGGGAAAGCATCAGCAGGTTGAGAGGTAGAAGTCAAACATTCTGTGAGGGAGGACAGCAGACCCAATTGAAATATATTCTATCTATGGGTAGAATGGGATCACCTCTGGAAACCCCAACCAGAGCCCCCAAGACCCACAAATGCCTGACACCTTTATCATGGTACAAATAGATTTTCTATCTAGAGGCTCCTGAGGCTGGCAGGACAATGTAGTGATGGGCTCACAGATACTTCAGTCTTAGCAAAACTAGTCCAGTAGGTCCAAGTCAAGAGCATAAGACAGACTGCTTTTTATAGGGAGACAGGCCAAAAGGAAAGTCCTCACTTTGTTTCAAAGACAGAAACATGGCAAAAAGCAGTCACTGCCAAGGAATAGAGTCCCAGTGAAGTCAGTCACTCACCTGCAAGAGACAGTTTCCTCAGTCAGCTCCTCGCACTTGTACAAGGCCTCTCTCATCTCCATGGGGAATTTCTGCAGATCCAACATCACTTTCTTATGCTCCATATTCACCATCTCCAACTCAAAATTTAGCCTGTATTAGGGCATAGCCCCAGAGCAAAGAACCCCGTGAATTCTGGCCTTAATGATCCTATGATTTCAGGCTGTGCCCTAAACACCCAGCACAGTCAATGTCACATTCTGATAGCTATGAACCAGGACAACCTGGTGCTGTTTAAACTTGCTGACGTGGCCCCAGACCAGCATGCTGTCAGGGGTGCAAAGGGAGTGATCCAGAGCTGCATGAGTTCCATTAATGGGCCTGGAGGAATAGAATAGTTAAGTCCTGGGGAGCCTGTGTCACAAGTCTGATCCCACCAGAAATCTATGATAATGTTGTTCCCGTCTCCAGAACGGGGATTTTTGATCCCAGGTTCCTATTGCTACATGGATGTCCAAAACACAAAATCAGTGTTTCCAGCGAGCAGACCTGACTTAAGGATAGATATATAAGTCTCCAGTGGATTCCAATGGGCTGCCAAGGTGAGCACACGGGCCAGGAGCACCATCACTGGTCAGAGTGGAGTTCCCTGACCCTAAGGGAACTGAGTGGGATCACCTGGAAACTGTGGCACAGAAAGAACCACATGCCACAGACCCCCAACTGCTAGGACACACACACACGCACACACATACACGGAGGATGCCAAATAAATGTAGGCAGGCAGAATTGTCTCAGAATATAAGAAACCAGACTAGAGAGGAGCAGTGATGAAGTTCAGACCTCAAGTCACACACTGAGATGCACCAAGACGACTAGGCCCCTGCAGCTGCTCCCAGGAGCAGCCAGTACTCAAACACCTGCTGGTTAAGCACAAAGACTCACCGTAAGCTCACAGCACCTAGCATCGTCCACAAGCCAACACCTGTCAAGGCCTCATGGAATGTATGCTGAGAGCTCACAAACTATTGCCCCATCCCCAGACTGATCCAGGCCACAGGCTCTCCTTTTATTTGGAGGAATCACACAGCCTGTGTCCTGATATCACTCCTTCCCAGATTTCAGCTATGCCTCTCAGATGCCCTCAGGATATTTAGTTTAGGCAGAACACTCTGGAGGTGCAGCCTCCAGTGACCTGAGGAATGCTGGGATTGACTCGGTAGGGTCAAGACAGTTACCCAGGAACTAGACAAAATGGCTACCTGTTGTTCAAATCCTTGTTGGTATAATTAGCCAGAATTCCACGAAGTTCGTTCCTTTCTTGGGTCATCATCTGAAGCTGCAGGGTCAGTGTAGCCACCTTGTTCATCCGTTGCTCCTGCCCAGTAACAGAGTTTGGGGTTGATGTTTTTCCAGTACTCCCTGCAGGTAGATAAATATTAGTGAATTTATGCAGTAGTATGGCACAGGACCAGGAGAGATCATGTTGAGTTCGAAGAAGAGGCCAAGGAAGAGTGAATGCATGGAACACAGTGAAGGATCAGGACAACTCCTCAAACTGGGAGCCCATAAGCCATGCCTCTGTCTCCACTCACTGTGGCTAGCTATGTGTATCAGCCCCTACTGCTGCCCCACTGGCCCTGAAAGGCATATGTCACCCAGCCATGCTGCTTTGGAAATATCAACTCATTTCTGATGTGATACAGAAAATTCCTGGAGTCTCCAGTGCTTAGAGACTCTCAGTCTCTTAGTGTGGCCTGGAATAGAAGTAACTGGATGTCTGAGACCCTGGTGCATAGATGGGGAATTTCCCATGAGATACTCACAGAACCTAAAGAAATCACTGATGATGAGTTGTAGCAACAACCTACTCTCACACCCCATTAGTCTGTGCCTCCTGCTGGTCTTTGCCACTCAAAATAAAATTAAGGAACTCACAGAACAGCAGCTATAACCTTGACAACTCCTGGATCTCTGCCAAACTAACTAGCAGCAATCCTTGACTATGGGTCTGCACTTTAGTCACCCAGACAAGCAATAAAGAACCATCTCTTCCAAGATCCCAGCTACTTAACCCCATTTCTGTAAGGTCCAACTCAACCCGCAACCTCCTCCTTCGAAAGTCAGATCTCTCTGCCAACCAGTGTGCTCAATCTTGCCATTGTGTCTTCTGGTGAACCCTATATGCACATAATTGATGTGGGAGTGATTTCTTATTAATAAAGAAACTGCCTAGACCCATTTGATAGGCCAACCCTTAGGTAGGCAGAGAAAACAGAACAGAATGCTGGGAGAAAGAAGCTGAATCAGGAGTCGCCATGATTCTCCCACTCCAGGCAGATGCAGGTTAAGATCATTCCTGGTAAGCCAGCTTGTGGGCTACACAGATTAAAGGAAATGGGTTCGATTGATATGTAAGAGCTAGCCAATAAGAAACTGAAACTAAAGAGTCAGGCAGTGTTTAAAAGAATATAGTTTCCGTGTAATTATTTCGGGTAAAGCTAGCCGTGCGGGCGGCCGGGTGCCAGGGACGCAGCCCCGCCACTCCTATTTCAACACATAATGAGTGCCCCAAGAACACAACACTGTTGATTTCAAAAAAAGATGCCAACGACTCTTTACGATACAGCAGAATGTCCAGAGAACGGACTGTTAGGGTCACTGCCAACTGCCATCACTTATCTCATAACAGTCTCTTCCCCAGTTCACCAAAAGCCAAGCTGGCTTTTTCAGGTGCCTTCCCTGAGACACAGGGGAAGCTCGTCAGCAGCTCTCTGATACTTAGACTCTAATTAATTATAATTTAACACTTCATCATTTATGGAGGTCAAGACTCATTTTCTAAACATTCCCAAGGAATGGCTTTTCACCTCCTAATCAAAAAGATGGGAAGTGAAGGATACTAAGAAATTAGCTCATGTTGATGTGGAATGAAGTTCAGTTTCATGAAGTGAATGAGTACCTCAGGAAATATCCACAGGGCTGTTACAATGTGTGGGGGTGATGGGGATTGCGGGTGACCCGTCAGACCAAAGATGAGTCACATGGGTAAAGATGAAAATTTCCTCTAAACTTTAGCAGAATACATTCCATCCATAATGATGTTAGCAAAAGTGAGATCACCTAGTGACAGGACAGGCTGGAGACACCTAAGGGCATCCACGGGTGAGCCCTCACTCACCAAGAACAGACACTTGCAGGGAGAGTGATGGCTCATTCCTGCACTCAAGTTAAAGTTAAAGTCAAGATAAAGATGACTGGCTATTGAGATTCAGGAACTCAGAAACCTTAGGGGTCACTGACATGCAGCAATACCCAATGGTTCCTACCCTGCAAGTGGATGTGAGGTAAAATTTGAGATCCTCCAGCTTTGGCCAGAGGATTTTACTCTCCCTGTTATTAGTGACCCACAACCAAAAGAAATCCAGTGTGGGTGAAGCTCAGTGCTGTAACTGAAACCTCATTCATCCCTCTCTCCTTCCTTCCCACTCAGAGTCAAAGCAGAGGGCCCTAGCACAGCAGCTGCAGGGTTGACCATTACTGGCTCTCTGCCAATCTAAGCATCAGAAACCCTAAACTCCAGGTCTACTCTTTGGTAACAGAGAGAAGCAGGATAGATTCATTACCTCCACGAAGCTCTAAGATCCTGTGACTCACTATGAAAAACCAAGCTGAAGCCTTCCACCATCAAGAAACTCCCCACTCCCTCCCCAGGACTCACTGTGTTCTCCCCAGAACCATTTATGTCTTGATGTGCGACACTGAGGTTGAAGGCCAGCTTCCTTCTGCCTCCCTCTAGTCTCGTTATGCTCTCCTTTCTGTCTCCCAAGGAGCCTGCTCAGTCTTGCCAACATGGCTACGTCCAAAACCCGTAGGCAATGAACAGATGCCCCACAGGCAGTTGGTGTTGCCACAACACTGATGACATCACAGAGAATCAGGGCTCTCCAGGATACAATAGAATGTCCAGGGAGGGGTCTGCTGCTGTCCATGGTACAGCCATTACCTCTGGCTCATTTCCTCACTCCAAAATGACCTTAAACCAAGCAGCCATATCAGGAGCCTCTCTGGGGTCAAAAAGGGAAAAGGAAGCTCTTACACAGGTAGTAATAAAAAATTTCCCCTGGAGAATCAGCAGAGCTCACTCAGGATATAAGGTTGTGAGTGAAGATGTGATTCACTCTTCACGTGTCTGGTTGGAGTCACATGAGGCCAGATGATCCCTCAGATATTTAGAAAAAACAGTCCTAGAAGCAATATGATGGTCCAAACCTTGAATCAATATACTGAGGCAAGAGCAGTGACAAGTCAGAGGTCTGTCGGGGCTGTGTAGAGGCACCCTAAGTTGGAAACACACATGCACATGCACACGCATACAGATAGAAGAGGCACACAATCATGGGATAGAATATGATGTACATCACTGCTATGGTCCTTCTATCAGCAAACAAAAGCCAAATTCCTTGGCCTAGAGCCAGGTGTTATGATATATGTGCTTGTTAATGGCTTTGGGTATAATACCCATTAGGAGATCATGAGAAGGACAGGCATTTGGAGAGGCTTGGGGTTATTAAATCAAAGAGTTTGGTTATAGCCTAACCTCAATTTTCTATTTCTGACAGTTCTTGTAAAGAGGATCCAGCCCATCGTTAGGCTGAAATTCATTTTCTCCAGATCTCTGAACTTTCTCAACAGAAGCATGTTCCTTAGAACTTAGGGCTGATGAGGTCTGCCAGGTGATCTGCGCCATTTCAGATATGGAAGCCCTAAGCAGGTGAATGTGATTAGCAACTTTTTTCTAAATAGGGTCTTGTAGAGACCAACAAGTTGAGAACCAAACATCTGGCAAAACTGGTATGAAAAAGTTTTATGAACATACAGAGTGGTGCTGTGGTAAAGAAGCAGAAGTGAGAAGTGAGATACAGAGAGAGAGACAGAGAGAGAGAGAGAGAGAGAGAGAGAGAGAGAGAAAGAGAGAGAGAGAATACGGTTGCAAATCAATCTGAGATATGACAAGATCTAGAAAACAAGGTAAAATGGATTACCAGCAAATTCCAGCAACTAAGAAAGAGGCCTGTGTAGGGGAAACCCAGCCCAAGGGGGTGTGTTAGCCTTGGGCTAATGTTTAGGTATAAATCTGGCGGGTGTGAGCCCCGCTGGTCCCTTTTTGTACTTCCGTTTCATCACTGGATCCCTAGTGTTGTAAGCTATTCCCTCATTAAAGTTTACTATTTCATATTAAGCTAGCCTGGTTATTCTGCCACACAGCTTGCTCTTTTCAATAATTAATTGTGAGATATCACACATCTCCTCTTTTCTGATAGGATTACAAACTAATCACTAAATGGGGTGTCTTTGGGCTAGTGAGTTCAATGCTAAACACCTTTCTATGCTATGATATGCCCAAAACACAAACAAGATCAGTTCAATACATTCTAGGAATGTCCATGAGATGGCATCAGACATTGGTAGGAACTACTGTAAGTCTTAAATCCTGTTTCCTCCTTACTTTTCTCAAAATATGTCCATAAAAAATGGGGGTTGGTTATTTAGTGCACTATTAGAGTGCTTGCATAGCAAGCCCAAGACTTTGGGTTTGTTCCTCAGCTCTGAAAAAAATGGTCTAATATTTATCTTTATATTGTCTAGCATGTTACATATATCTGAACCAGAAACTCTTACCTCCTCATTACAATAATCTGTATTACCATGATAGAATTCATCCTGCTTTGTCAAAATTTTCTGTATCATCTAATGTATCCAGGGTTCTTTGCTCCTTTTCTAGTGTCCTACATAAAACCTGGAGAATTTTTGTAGAAAGCTTTTGGGCAGCCTAAAATGCCAGGGCTGCCTGGATGGCCAGTATTTCTTCCACCTAACCTCACATATCAGTCTTAATTAAAAGCAGGACCACTTAGAAACAATTGGATTGGACCTAAATGTGAGGGCTATTTCTGGGATAAATGGCCCAGATTCAAGGGGCTAGAGATGCTGGAAGAAAAATTGTGAGTTCTTCACCCATACCTAGTTCTCTGACCTATATGGGAAAAAGGAGTCTGTCCTGCCTTCAATGGAAACAATAAAATATGAAAACTGTATATACTCCATCTATCTATCTATCTATCTATCTATCTATCTCCATCCATCCATCCATCCATCCATCCGGGTTTTATTCTCCATATTTTCCCACCCAAAAGATTGGTAATTCATATCTTATCCATCACTTGCTTAAATTTAACATTCCTTAAGTCTCTGACTCCGTGACACTAGAAATATTGTGGGAAGGGTCTTGGATAAAAAAATGTAAGTGTACTGAAAACAAAATACCCACATCAAACAACTTACAAACACATTATCTTAGCTTGTTTCTTTATATGACAAATGTAATATAGAAATTATGAATTCAAAGAGTCGTTATATTCAGGTTTTTATTGCCTCTCTGCCATGAAGTTCAAAAAACTTTTTCTGACTAAATTCATTTTGTAAAGAGGTAAAATCTGTAGAGTTTTCTAAATGGAAATGGAAAGATATGATCAAAGCCAGAAAATAAACTTATCATAAATCAGAAGGTTTATGGAAGATAAAGAATCAAGATCATATGTGAAACTGCAATATCCATTAAAATTCCATAGGACAAAATTCAGTACACTTGTATATAATTAGAATGCAATTCTCTCTTTACAATCAAGGTGATAGAATATGCCACTTATGTAACTCTCTGTTTGGAATACAGGTGATAGAAGATGTTACTTAGGTTCAACTTTTTATACAGAGAAAAGGAAAATACATACTAGAACTTGCTTTTGAACCTTAACATGGCCTGCAAAGAAACTGTCTTGGTCAGGGAGTAATCTGCCTCTCAACTGCTTGAAGTACAAAAGACTTTCAAAATATCAGTGAAACATCCTGTCAAAGCTTGACACATGAGATTGTAGGCTATGAGAACAGGTGGGATCAATCTGACTTCTACAAAAGTTGGAAGGAAGGTCATATATACTTACTTAAACCTTCATGACAAAAAAGATACATAATCTAATGAAATATTCATGAAATCATTTCTGATGGACTGGCTCAAAGGAAGCACTGGGATGTTTGGTTATCACAAACAGAGGTCTCACAAATATCATAGGCTGGAAGATGATGAATGATAGGATTTCCTGAAAAACTATGGATGAGAGAAGCAGTGTTTATGGCCGAGTCACTGAACATGATGGAGCTGTGCTTACAGAGGCGGTGAACAAGTTTGCTCCACCAGGGACTTCAGGACTGGTGTGCAGCTTTAGTGCCTTTGCAGAGCTCCATGGTAGACTGTGATCTTATGTGAACTATCATTTTAAGGGAAGAGTGAAGTAATATGTAAAAATTTCCCCTTTTGACATAAATATTTTCTGTTATTTTTGAGATTATAATTACATTACTTCCTCTTCTCTTTAATCCTTGCAAACCCTCCCTACACTCTCTCTTGCTGTTTCTCATGTATGGCCTCTCTTTTCCTTCATTGTTGTTACATGGATATACATGTATACATGTAGTTTTACAGTCCTAAATGTAAACCAACCATTCTTTATAGCTAGCATGTAAGCTTTCCAGACTCACTATTTGATATGGGATTTACAACTTGTGTGCTTTTTCCCTGGGTGGAAATATTTCCATAAGTCTCAAAAAGTTCTAAGGAAAGAGTTAGGAAGTTCATAAGACTCAGCATTTAAATTATGGCTGGGAAATCTGGAACTTAAAAGAATAATAAGGCCCCTCTGCTCCCAAGCTTACATAGGTTTTAAGTAAGAACTGAAGAAATGAGAACCTCCATCTCAGTCAGTTGCAAACAAGTCATGCAGACATGTTCATGGTTCTAGTTTTCCTGAGTTCCCCATTCTAATGGGAGCCTTTGTGATACCACACATTTGTTATTCGTATTCCTGTAAGTAATCCCGTACCTATACTCCTGTATTAACCTCAATAAACTCATTAATTTGAGGAAATAGGAATTACACAGTCTTCCCTGGCTGGCAGATAAAGAAAGGGGGAACTGATAAGTAAAACAAATGGCTGTCTTCAAGTTTCCTTTTTATTTTTTCTACTAAGACAAAAGCTTAGGAGGCTTTTTCTTCCACCAGCAGGCTGTCTCCTCCAGCTGTTCGGTTCAGGACAGATAGGTTAACAGTCAGTTCTGAACATGGCCACCTGAAGCTGCAGGTGATCACACCTCATGTGAGTGAGCAGTGGCTGGGTCATGCCTTAAGATAGCATGTCACAGCAGTCCTCCTCACCCTCAGGCAGGACATTCAGGACCCCTGTATCTAGGGGAATGGTTGGTCTACAGGTCCCATTTAGGAATGAACATTCATGGACATTTCAACATGTTGAAATTATGAGGCTGCGCATTTGCTGCTGTGCACTCCATAAAGAAGAACCTCTGACCAAGCCTGACAGCTGAAGACATCTATCCATAGAATCGGAAATATATACGAAGCAGTTACTCTTGTCACACAAAGGAACAACATTAACATCATCTTAAAGGACTCTATGCCTCATCCAGCCATGCTCTGTTGATCATGGACACAGGACCAGGTACTAATTCCTACCTAGAGTGCAGGCCTCACCAGATCAGCAGGAAGTGAAATACACAATAACTCTCACGTCTCCGTTGCACCAGTGATTTCCTCATATTGTCTATGCCCCATTTAAATGATATTTTCTTATGCCAAAATAAAAAGTTTTAATTTCATATGATCCTATTTGTTGATTTTTTTTTTTGGTCTCATTTACTGAATAGACAAGAGTCCTACTCAGAAAACCCTTTCCTATGCTTAAACTTGGAAGATTTTCTCTACTGTGTTCTTTGGCATTTTTAGGGTATCACATCTCATTTTGACATCCACGACACATTTGGTGCAGTTTGTGTATGGTAGATGATAAAGAGCATAGTTTCATTGTCTGCATGCTGAAAACAATTTCTCATAATCGGCATATCTGAGACAGTATCTCAAATGCCAACAAACATATGGAATACAAATATGTGTGCAGAGTTACCCTAGTTACGCACAAGTACACGCTGCTTACCAGGTGGACCACTTTGAGGTACCCAAGCATGAAGTAATACAAGGTCAAATTCTGACCATGGCAACAATCTGCATAAGAATAAATTTCAACAGGACTTACGGCCTGACTCAAATACTCTAGATTGTGTTGTCATTTTCTTGAGTCCCAAGACCCATTTCTCACAACGAATAATAATATTTCGAGTGCCCATAATTCCAGCTTTGAGTGCCTCTTTAGTGATTACATTTTTTTAACAAATCTAAATTTTTCTAAATGCTGCAAAGGAAGTAAGGAAAAAAGAACACATATGCTATGATCATTGTAAAATAAAATATCTCAGGTACTGTGGATGCTATAATAATAGCTGTGGCTGAAAATTTAACATAGACGTACCAGCTGTATCACTCCTGGATATGCATACTTTCCAAGGGAGTTCACTATACTGAATCACATATATGTGTGTGTGTGAGAGTTTGTGTGTAATTGTTATCATTGCACTTCCTATAATAAATGATTCAGGGAATAAGATTAGATAACCACCAATATATGAGTGGATAAAGAAAACATTATATGCATAAATCATGCAAGATAATCAATCAACAAATAAAATTATGGAAAAAATACATAATTCTCAAGAAAATTGTTGCAATCATGTATCAAGTCAAAGACATAGACAACTCTCCAAAATACAAATAACACATATCTTCT